TCCCCATGCTCCCAGCCCTGTGCTGCCGCGTACCGCAGGAGGAAGGGGACAGGTTTGGTCTGCAAGACATCCCTCGCCGAAAGAAGGTGTGGGGGGGCAGTGGAAGGGGAGGCATCTGCTTATAACCGGGGATGTTTCATCCATTTTGATACGTCCAGTCTCCATCTTGATTGCGCTGAGCTCCCTGTCGTGGTGTCGAGCCTCTCCCGCTGAGCAACACCCCAACGCTGCCGACACTGACGCTTTACAGAGAGAAGGGCAGCGAGGTTTGTAGGAGGTGGTACTGTTCAGTCAAACCAAATGACATCAGACAAAGCCCTTCTGCAGGCCTGAGGAATAATTAGCGTTACACGGTGGGGAAAGGTCCCTCCTATCCTTCAAGAACCAGGATTTGGACTGGGGACCAGACCTTCCCTGTCCTCTTCCCTCACAGCATCCCCACTGCAGACCGGGCAGAAGCTGCCTGGACCTGGCTACGGCGATTCCTTCCCGTGGCAGGCGCTGCGGAGAAATCGCGGCACCGTCGCTGCCTGCTGGGAGCCCGCGGGCGCACTGGGCCGTGAAACGCGTGAGCTGCAGCGTTCACAGTGTCTCCTGCCCGTGGCACTGCTCGGTGCGGCCGCGGCGAGGGAGATGCAGAGACCCCCTGTTCCGTGGGCTGAGGAAAAAGTTAGGCGGATCCTTGGAGCAGGGAATTTAGCAGAAGACTGGGGATGACACAGGATAAATGTTTAGGGAATTGAGTGTGTTTGACTGCCTTTGCTTTTAACAAACACTCATGGTTGCGTTTCGTTGGGTTTTCAAGGTTTCCTGCCTTCCCAAGGGCTCACCGTTCAGAGCAAAAGCTGCAGTCGGTGGGGAAGCGTTCGCCGCAGCGAGCTGCATCCCTGGGAAGAAAGGGAAGTGCCGACAGACCGGCGAGAAGATGCCGGAGCCGGGGGGGGCTGTGGGTACCGCGCTCTGCCACGTGCCGGGGCGACAGCCCCCGCCTGAGAGCCCCCGGCACGGCCGGTCAGCTTTGAAGCCGAGATGGCGTCGCTGCTTCAATCCTTCCCGGCTGCAGCTCGTACCGGAGCTCCTGCTGCCGGCCCTGCCGCAGCATCCCCTGCGGGCGGCAGCTCTGGTACCCCCATCTGGGTTACCGGGATGGCTACATATGCATTTTTTTCAGCTTTGGCACTGCCCCCCCCCGCGACGTGGGCTGCCCAAAAGAGGCCCTGGCGCAGCGGCGGCTGACAGGCGAAGCGCAGCGCGGCAGTGCCGGGGACGGGCGAGGGTCTCTGCCTGCCCTCCCGACTGCGGCCGTTTGGCGAGGGGTCGGGCGGGCTCTGCTCGGGGAGGGGGGGCACAGACCCCCCATTGCAGCCTCTGCTCGGGGGGGTGCAGTGACCCCCTCATTGCAGTCAGCCTCCTCGAGGTGCCGGTTTCAGGGGGGGCAGAGCCCCCCTCAGTCCGCAGCCGCCCGGGAGGAGGGCACTGGGGCTCTTCCCAGTCCTGTCCCGTCCCGGGGGTCAGGCTCATTCTGTGCTTTCAGTTTTCCTGCTGGTTTTTGTTACGACTTTTGTTTTATTTCGCCGACCCTCCCCGGGAGCACCGTCCCGGCCCTGCACGTGCGTTTCCTGGGTGCAGGATGGATGGAAAACCCGTTCTGCCGCTGCTGCTGGTGCTGTCTTTGTGATTTAAAAATGTTACTTTTTAATTTGTCCTCATTTGGGTTTTCTTATTTTTTTCCCTGTCTTTTTTACTGTCTAGCATAGAAAATAAACCGCCTTTGGCTCCCAGGAGCTAATTCATCCAAGTTAAATGATCTTTAAAATCTGTTAGCGCATCATGGATCTCGGTTCCTGTTTTCTCGCAGTGTAATTAATGCTTCGGTTTAAATTTTCTCCTTTCCTTAGGGGCAAGGTTGATGGATCTGATGCCAGGCTAAAACTTTTGCTGAGCCATTAGAAAGAAATCAAACTAAAAGCAATCTAGTCCTTAATTTAAATTTTATTTTTTTTAAATAACTTGTCTTTGGGAAGAAACTGATCTTGTTTATTATCATTATTTCTTTTCTCATCCAGCACCGAAGACATGTAGCCCTAAACAGTTTGCATGCAAAGATCAGATTACGTGCATATCTAAGGGCTGGCGCTGTGACGGGGAAAAGGATTGTCCGGATGGCTCGGATGAATCACCCGATATATGTATGTATGCCTTTCCTTCCTAATAATGTTCTTTGATTTTGTTTCATCCATTCTCTCATTGCACGGTTATTCCAGGGTCCCAAACAGGCGGCATCGCACAACCGCTCTACCTCAGCTCCTGTTTCTCCCGTAGTACCCGGAGTCTGCAGCACCTCAGGGGGGTGGGTACCACTCGCGGCAGGGGTCCAAGCCGTCCATCTCTCCGTCCTCCCTTTATCTCCCTCGCCGCTGCTCCTGGGGCCTCTGGCTCCAGGGCCGTGATCTATCGTAACAAAACAGCCTCCTGGGAACAGGGTATCACTGATTTATGCTTTGTTTGCATCAAAATTGGTTTCCACAAGGAAAGCAGAGTCCTGGAGGCGAGGACGCAGCGAGCCGGGTGTGGGCACGGGGTCAGCTCTGCTGCAGCAGCATCCCTTCCTCAGGCGACTGAGCCTCCGGTGCCTCCGGTGCCTCCCGTGCCTGGCGTTTAACGGGTGCTTGGGGCAAGGGCTGGGCTGAAGGGAGGAAGGAGATCTCTGGGAGCTCTGAGGAACAGCTGGAAAAGCCACACAGCTTTCCCCAGATGTGTTTGGATTAGGATGCTGTGTTGGTTTTACTGGTTTTGTCCCGGACTGTTGGAGCCGTGCTGCCGCAGAGGAGCTGGTGGCTCCGGCGCCGGGGATGCTTCTGCCCCAGATGGGGCATTCGGGTCTCTGCAGAAGCAAACAGGGAACCGGGCTGGGTTAGACGGGGCTCAGGGGTTGGGGATGGGGATGGGGCGTGTGTGTCTTCAGCCCGGGGGCTGCAGGGCCGGCGGGTGTGCCGGTCCTGCCGTGCTGCGCTGTACCGGGGGCTCTGCTCCGGCTGGGCTGGGGCGAGGACCCACCTCTCAGCCTGTCCCCGTTTCTCCCTCCGTATGATGAGGGAGGCTGTGTTGCCCTTGCTGCCTCGCGGGAGCAGCCTCGTGGGGTTGTTTTACTGTGCCAGGAAAGCAGCCTCGAGGTGCCGGGCTGGCAGGATGGTCACAGCCGGGTTCATCCCTGCCGCTGCTCACCAGCAACCGGGAAAATCGTCTCGTCCTCTCGCTCGGAGATCCTTCCCAGCCTCCTGCTTCCCGCTGCACTTGGCATAAAGGTCTCCTCCAAAGCAGTTTCTGGTTCGGTACTGGGGTTATTTATTTCTTAAAGCAAAATGATGCAACCGTCCCCTCCGTGGGAGGGATGAGGGGGCTGGGATGGGCTGTCTGGCTCCAGTCAATCAGCAGCCCTGGAAAATTACTGCGGGAGGACTCGGAGGCCCATCCCCAGCTGGAAGAAATCCGTCCTGATTGACGTGTTCCGCTTGCTGCATTCCGCTGTGTCCGCTTCACCACCCCCGGTCCTGACGGACAGGTGAACGGAAAACAGACCCCTCAGGTGCTTTTCCCCCATCCTCTTCTTCCTCTTTCTTCGCTGCAAAGGTGCCACTGGTGGGGGCTGGCAGAGGGTCCCCCCTGGATGGGGAACGCGGAGCTGCACCCACCTGCCCCGGATGCTGCCGCCCCGGTGGGAATGGGAAAGCATTGGTAGCCTCGACAGCGGGGCCGTGAGCACGGACCAAAGGCCGGAATTTCCTCCCTTCTCACCCTGCCACCACGCCTGGGACAGAGTGCATGAGTCTCCATCACCACCACACACCCTAAACTTTGGAAACGCTCTTTTCCTGGGGAGCCGTTCCGTCCCCAGCTGAGATCTGGGGACCTGGAGGCGTTTCACCTTCCCAAGGGACTCTGCTCACCTTCCCCAGGTTCCCGCTTTAAGCAGCCCCAACCCCGGGAGCACCAGGAGGGAGCCAGAAGGATGCTGCGCCCTCCGGCACGTGGAGTTGGGGTCAGTGGCTGTCGCTGCCGGCTCCTCCGCACCGGCGGTGGGGCAGTGCTTGGCGCAGTGCTGGTGCAGGTCTGGCCTGGCGCTTGCCTGCGCCTGCCTGTGCCTTTCCCACGGGCAGGGGCTGTGAACGGAGGTTGCTGCCTGCTCCTGCCTGCTCCTGCCTGCTCCTGCCCAGGCTTGTGCGAGTAGAGCCCGACCTGTCGGCACACGCAGGGCGTGGAGCCCGGTATCTCCAGGATTGCCAGGCAAGCTTTTCTCACGCCACTTCGGCACCGGGGCTTCCAGCAGGCTCTCATCCTCCTTATCTTTTTGGCAGGGAGAGAATGACTTTTATTACTATTATTTAATCTCTTTTTTTTTTAAGCCCAGGCTGCAAACGCGGCTCTCGCACGCTGCTTGGCGCACCCTTTCGCACCCTGGCAGCGCGGCAGCGTTATTTACATTGCACTAATGTACTCATGTCAGAGTCTCTTGAAATGCCGTCTATTATGTGCGAGGTTTTCCTCCCTGGGGAATCCTTTTAAGTATTTGCTGGCTTTGCTTACATGTTAGCTGAGCATAGGAAGAGTTCCCTTTCCGAGCTTGGTGCTGTGCGCGCGTCCGTGTGAGCGGCTCCTACCCGGTTCTTGCCCAGTCAGTTGGTTTTTCACTCCATGGAGCGTTCCTGGGGGGAAAAAAAACTTGGACAAGAGCCTCCGTCCTGTGGAAAATCAAAGGAGATGAGGGGCTCTGAGAAATGAATTTGCCGCGGCTGAGCTACGGCCGTCATCTGGCGGCTGCGCCCCGGCTGGCCTCGTGCCTGCCGCTCTCCCAGCTCAGCTGGGTGCCCTGGCCAAGCTGGGGCTTTGCCCGCCAGCGGGACGGCCGAGCTGCCGGCACGTGATTCTCCGGCTGCGCGACACTGTTTGCTTCGCTGCGGACAAATCTGCAGATCCGCGGCCTTCGGTCGCCGGGGTGTTTGCAAGGGTTCGACATCAAATGGTTCATCGGGCCGAGTGCTGGATCCGGACCTCTCGGTGGCCTTGGCCCTGCTCAGGTTTGGACGTGTCTCGAGTGAGCCCATCACCTGCAGAGCCTTTGCTCTCTTCCCGTGGTGCTGGCGCCGGGCACAGCCAGGAAGCAGCACTGGGTCCTTCCCTGCCCGAGCTCGGCCGGTGCTCGGCTGCTGGCGCTGCAGTCCGTCCCGGTGGGGTGAGTGGGACCGTCCCGCTGCTGGCTCCTCCTGCCCCTTCCCTTGTCCCGTTCCCCCACGTCTGTGTCTCTTTGGGCTGCTGCCCAACCAACTGCAGGCTGCGTGTACAGGAGGAAGAACTGCTTTTCTTCTTTACGTCTTTTTTTCTTTTTTTTTTTTTTCCCCCAAATGGTTTTCGGAGGTTAAAAATTCCTGTCTAATTCAGCTCCTTGGGGTGTACCACAAGCTTGTCACATGTAATAAATTGGCTCGTTTATTAGTGCACCAACACAGTCAAAAGCAAACAAAGTGGCTCATAGATTAATCCTGCCCTGTTTGTGATAAGTAGTTTGATCCAGGCTCTTTGCAGGGGAATAATGGACACGGCAGATCAGTTTTGACTGATGAACTGCGCACTTTATTTCAGTGCCTTCATTCTTTCAGCCCGTATATTGATACTACTTAATTAACCCTTAATTTGCAATTACTTGGTGCCCAGATAGCGCTGCTGTTCAGCCCTTTGTGAAAAACAAAAGCCATAAAGCAGCATCTGGTGAGAAATTCTCCCGCGGATCTCCCCGCTGGGAAGCGGGAGACCCACGTCCCCGATGGCTGCGATGGAGCCCGGTGGTCCTGAGCTCCGTATCGCCCATCCTGGCTGAGCCCAGTGCCGAGCCAGCTGGCTAACTGGAAACAGACTGGAACATGTTTGACACGCAGCCTGTGGGCCGGGGAGCGATCTGGCGTCTGGAGCCGGTTAGATTTACGTTCTTCAGGCACCTCTTGTGCAAGAAGGGGCGACGCGTGTGTCAACAGCCCCGAGTTACTCACTTTGCACAAAACGGACAAACGAAAGGGGATGAGGTTTTCACCGTGGCGGGTTGGGGAACCTCTCTGCAAAACACGGTGGTCGTGAGCTTTTAGTGGGGGCTTTCATGGGCTGCTCCTGCCGTGGGAACCTCCTGCCCATCTCTGCGGGAGCTGCAGCGTGCCGGGCTGCAGGGCAGTTCGTGGACGGTTGCGTGCTGGACTTTAGTTCTGCGGAGGCTTTGCTGCATTTGGGAAAGGCAGAGGAGAAACCCATCCTGTCCTGTCTGCTCCTGGAGTAGCAATTTGCCATTTGTCGTAGTCTGCAGGACGGAGGGATGGGTGTGCGAAGGCGTCTGCTGGGATATGCTAAGGGGTCTCGCGCAGGGTCAGGAGAACCACGGGGTCAGAGCCAGCAGGTCCCATCCCATCCATCCCTTGTCCAAACTCCCCTCGACCCTTGCCCAGCGCAGTGAGATGGGTTCCTCCTCCCTCGCCATCCTCACTGCCGGCTGAGCCCTGGGGAGCACAGGCAGTGCTGGCGGCACAAGTCCTGCCTGTCCCTGGGGCAGTGCCCCCGCAGCCCCCTCCCGCAGAAGGGGCTCAGGCTACACTGGAGAAGGCTCTGTCGAGAGGAGCCACCCCCAGGCTTTGCCCTCGGTCTCCTGTTATGCCAACTGCGTGCTGCGAACAGGGGCTGCGGCGCAGTGGGGCAGTGGGAGACGAGGTTGGGGCAAGAGCCAGGGGTACCCCCACCTGCCCGGGGTGTCTGCGGTCCCGGTGTCCCTCCCCTGGGGTTTGCAGTCGCATGTGCTGCTGAGCCTTCAGCCCCGCTGGAGCAGCACCTCCTGTGATCCCGCGCGCTACGGGTAAAAGCACGTTGAGTGCAGCTCCACAGGGACGGCTTGTGGGGAGTGAAACTGAGCCCTTGCTGGCCGGAGCACGTTGGCGCGGCAGGAATGATGCCGGATGAGGATGTGCTGGCATGCGGAGCGCTGGGCTGGACTCTGCACGCTGTGTGTGATGTAACGCTCCTCTCCAAGGAGAGTTTAAGCTTATTTAGGACAAACTCCACCAGTGGAATCTTAGATGAAGGTGACTGCTGGTCTCAAAAGCTGTCTAAAACGGGACCAAGCCTGGACAAAGCGCTCGGTGCATGATGTGCTGCAGGTGTCCTTCTCGGTGCTCACCTGGCGCTTCGCCTGCAGCGGAGGACGGGGTGGTCTGCAGGGAGCTCGGGGAGCTATTTCTGCCACTGTCCCTGCTGCCAGCGAGGCCGGTGCGCTGTCTGCCCTGCTGATGTGAGGGCAAGGCACAAGCAGCCACTGTCTCCCCGTAAAATGGGATTTTAGTGTTTTCGCTTGCGTGCTGCCGTTGACTCAGCAGAGGCGTTGTTGGCGGCTCCAGCCAGAGCTGGCGAAACACTGCGTGTTCAGCCCTAAAGCCAAACTTAGGTTTGGGGCCAGGGAGGAGGGGAGAAGAGAGCCTGCGGAGGGGAGTCGGGCTTTGCCGCGCTCTGTGGTCTGCGTGCTGTGCTGTGCCATGCCGGTGGGCTGCGGACGCCGAATCTGTGCCATGCCAGCACTGTGCTGGGGCTCGCCATCGGTGCGTCACCCCGTCACCCCCAGGCAGCCACCTTCCAACCCGGGGTGAAGCAGTGTTCAAAGTGGTGGAGCTTTTAAGGGGGTTTCAGGATGTTAATCGATTTACGGTGTATTTTGTTGTTTGTCTCAATGCTATGCTTCTTTTCAGAGAAGCTTAAAAATAAAGCCTTGCTTCCTTTGTAATTTTTCTAGTTAATAATGGAGATTAAGTCTCCTTGTGTTGCGTAGCCCTGGTTCTTAACAACCCCCCGCAAGCCTGCCTGCACAGCGGCCTCTCAATAAAGAGCATGTTGGCACCTGAGGGAGTGTTTGGGGTGACGGGGGGACGTGGCGGCTGTGCTCAGGGTGCTCGGCACTGCCCAACCCCGTGTGCCCCTGGCCCTCCCAGCAGTGAGGGGCGCCCGGAGCCATGTGTCTGAGCAGCCCAGAGTGGACGTGACCCGTGGGAGCTCGAAACAGGGAGTCTGGGGGTGCTGAGGTCTGGGGTCACCTCCCTCCTGGGGAGGCGCTTGTCCTCCGATGGCAGTCTCTGGGGCCAAGCAGAGGGTCCCCATCTGTTCTGGGTCTCCTTCCATTTCGCTCACTGGGATGGAAAAGCGAAAGTTCACTCCAGATGGGGCGTGCTTTTCCTCCCCAGGGAGCAGCGCCTGCAGCAGTCCGCCTGCTTTGAAAGGGAAATCCAGTGTCTGTTGATGAGGTTCCTGCAGGAAGAGCTGGGGAGGGTGTTTGCTGCGGGCGATGGGGTTGCAGAGCCTTTGGTGACGGTTCTGCCTTTTGCTGTCTTGCAGGTCCTCAGAGCAAGGTGTCCCGATGCCAGCCCAACGAGTACAACTGCCTGGGCACGGAGCTCTGCATTCACATGAGCAAACTGTGCAACGGGCTCCACGACTGCTTCGATGGCTCCGACGAGGGGCCACACTGTCGGGGTAGGTGTCTGGGGGGGATGGCGGTCAAAGAGATACTGCCCTTGCCTCCTTTCATCTCCTGCCATGGTCAGGGTCACAAGGTCCCTGTTTGTCCCCAGTTTCTGGCTGTATGGCGTGAGCCCCGCATTGGTTTAACAGCTTCGTGCTGGTGCCACCGCGCTCCATGCTCCCGTCTCCTGGCCGAGCGCAGCCGACGCGGTGCAGTTCAGCGCCGGGCTGGCCGGTGGCAGATCCAGAGATTAGCCAGAGCCGCTTGCAAGTGAAATGCCCGTCATTCCTGAGCCTGCAGGCCATTAAATAGCTGCATTGTCTCCTGGGTTTAAAAGCTTGGAGGACTGGGGTTGTGGTTCAGATAAGAGATACCGGTATGTTTTTTTCCTAATTTCCAGGAGCTTTGTCCCCCCTCCGAGCCTGTCCCCTGTTGCTAATCCTGCTGGAAAACTCCCTAAATCAGCGTGCGCCGGCTTGCTGGTGTGCAGATTAGTCGCGCAGAGACACGTGTCCTGGGCTGCCCCCTGGAGCCGGGTCCCTGCAGGCTCTGGGCGAGCAGCGAGCCCGATTTTCTCCCCAGCCCTTCCCCTGCCCAGGGCGGGGGGCTCCTGCCCCGCTCAGCCCAACCCTGGGACACCCTGCCCCGAAGGCTCCCTTGCGCCCGGCCATGGCTCCGGCGGGAGGAGCACGAGGCGGCTTCTGCAGCTGTGCCCGAGCTGACAATTAATATTTGGCTAATAGTTCTCATTACTTAAATGGGATCTGATTTTTCACAGCTGGGCAGCGCGTGATGAGGGTTGGGCACGGGCAGGCCCCGTGTCAGGACAGTTGCTGCTCGCAGGTTTGGGCACGTTGGGGACGCAAGCCCTCGCCAGCGCTTGTGTCGGATGGCGCGGGGCCCCCCGCCCGCCGGCCACGGCAGCTGGTCGTGAGCCCCAGCCCCAGCCCACCCCTGCCCTGGGCTTGGGGAGAGGAGCAGTCACCCCGGTTCATGCTCGGGCTGCTGGAGCCCCGCGGCGTCCTGTCCCGCTGCCCCCAGTGCCGGGCCAGTGCCGGCACAGCTCGCTCCCTCGGCAGCGGGCGGTTTGTCCCCCAGAGGTGCCCCTGCGGAGATGTGGGGATGTGCCGAGGACCCTTTGCTGCCCTTAGAGGCATCCACCGAGGTGGAAACGCCATCGGGGCCTCCGTACTGAAACTCCCTCCCTCGTCCCCCTCCTGCAGACCCGGTGCTCTTGGGGGTTTTTTCTGTTTTTTGGATGCACACGGTGCTTAAAGCTGAGAGATAAGAATCTGAAATGGATAGCTGGGCCTGCCACAGCTGATAAACCTTGTAAACAACTCGGCCGGTCCCTGCCCGGCTTATTAAATGGTTCCACATGCGAAGGGCAGGATTTTCACCACAGCCCCGGCCGTGAAGGGGGATGTGGGAAGGGCTGGGTGGTGTTGGCTTGAGGAGGCTCGTGGCCGTTTCCCCTCCGCCGGCAGATTTACTGGGGCCCAGTTCAACGCCCTTCGAGCACCCAAGTGACCGGGTCGGGCAGGGCGAGGAGAGGAGAGAAGGAAATAAAACCCAACATAAACCAACCCCCCCCCAGCAGAGGGCTGCCAGCGCGTCCCTCGCAGCAGGCCAAGCAGGCCCATCGCTAAATGACCTTGGTGGAGTTGGAGGCTGCTGCTGTTTATTGACGGAGTGAGGTGGGCAGCCCTGGCCTCCCCCTGCCCGTGGGCAGCGCCGGGCAGGTGGGGGCTTTATTGGTGATTATTGTGACTGCTAATGAACGCGTGGGAGGCGGTGAGCCAGGCGACCGCGGCTCTGGTACCAGCTTCGCCCCGGGGCCACCCGACCCTGACCCTGGCGCTGGCGGCGCGGTCGCCAGGCTCCCGGCAGCCTCAGTTAGAGGGAAGCTGCTGTGGAGAGGACGTGGTGGATAAGCTCACCCTGAAGCCTCTCTGGGATCCGTGTCCCCCAGCATACCCCGGTGCCGTGGCCCGTGCCGCTCTCCTGCGTGAGGAGGGGATGGGTCTCGGTGGCCGCGGCCAAACGAGCTCCCGGCAGGAAGTGACGTCGAGTCGTCAGCTCTGGGGCTGCTCAGACCCCCGTCTTGTGGAGCAGCCACGTATCCATTACGGCCTCCTCTCCCTCGGCCGAGGGTCTCAGTCCTTCCCTCCCCACTGGGGACAGTGTGGAGACCCCCAGCAGAGCCTGGTGGGGTGCCTGGGGGTCCCCTTCACTGAGCGCTGGGGCCCCGGTGTCCATCCTGTCCCTTACCCCAGCATCCCTGGATGACATCCTCTCTCCTTCATCTTCCCTGTCTCCTCAGAACAATTAGCAAACTGCACGGCGCTGGGTTGCCAGCACCACTGCGTGCCGACGCTGAACGGACCGGTCTGCTACTGCAACAACTCCTTCCAGCTGGCCGAGGACAGGAGGAGCTGCAAAGGTCGGTACGGGGCAGGCAGCGCCGTCACCCCCGGCATGGTGCCAGCGGCTCCTCTGGGCTGTGGCCGATGCCGCCGTCTCGGCAGCGGTGCTGGGGCTTGGCCGTGCAGCCAGAGGGACCTGGGGCTTGGCAGACCCTGACCTTCAGAGGGGAACATGGGGCAGACAGGACGGGACTCTGCCTCCCTGGGGCCGTTACGTGGATGTGGCTCCTGAAAGCCCGAGTGAGGAATATTGGGAGGGAGTAGGGAAAAGGTTTCACCTTTGTGTACGGAGCGAGGGGCCATCGCTGGGCTTGTGTGTGCTCCTGGTGTCCGTGCCTCAGAGGATGCTGGAAAACAGGAGAGGGTCAGCGAGGAGTGATCAGATCAATGCGATGCCTGGAAACAAGTCTGGAAGTGAGAGATTGCAGCGGCTCCGTCTCTTTCATTTATCTGAGCAGAGGTGAAAGGGGCCTTTATCAGCTCCTGCATGCACCTCTGGGGGCAAGAGCTCTCTGGTGGAGACGGCTCTTTCATCTGGTAGAAGAAAGAGCAGCGTGCAAGCCAGGGGTTTGGAAGCTGAAGATTAGAGAAATTCAGACTGGAAATGAAGGTGCAGATTTTGCAGAGTGGGGGGGAGGGGCAGTGGATAATTAGGCCTTGAAAAGACTCAGCTGTGTGGCAGGGATTGTCCTCTTGCTGCTCTGCTGTGGATGCTGGAGCAGAAAGCTGGGGGCTGCCCACAGGTGTGGTGAGGTGACGTTGGACAGGTATTCCTCTGGAGGCCGTTGTGACCAACCCTTTGGTTTGGGGATCATATCCTCCCCTGCAGCTCTGCCTTGGAGAAGAGGGGGAGCCTTCATCCCCTCTTAAGGCAGCCAGGGAGAGACATTCACTTGTCCAAACCTTGGGGGTTTTTGCCTTCTTTTCCAGACTTTGATGAATGCACCGTCTACGGGACCTGCAGCCAGACGTGCACCAACACAGAGGGCTCCTACACGTGCAGCTGTGTTGAAGGGTACCTCCTGCAGCCTGATAACAGATCCTGCAAAGCCAAGAATGGTGAGATCCTTGGTGGGAGAAGCGTGCTGCTTGTGGGCAGCTCTGCAAACTGTGGCCTCCTGCCGCTCGTGTACCCCTGCCCGCAGGTCAGGGTGCTCTTCCCCGAGGACTGTCCTGTGCTACCGCCTTCTTGCACATGTCGGGCTGCATGTCAGGACCTGGTTTTCACTGGCGCAGAAGGGCCAGGCTGATGCAGTGTTGCAACCATGAGTTTTGGGTGCTCTGCCATGACTGCCCTTCTCCCCTCCTTTCTCTTCCAGAGCCCGTGGACCGTCCTCCCGTGCTGCTCATTGCCAACTCCCAGAACATCCTGGCCACCTACTTGAGCGGAGCCCCTGTGCCCAACATCACCCCCACCAGTGCCAAGCAGACGACGGCCATGGACTTCAACTACATTGAGGACACGGTGTGCTGGGTTCACGTGGGTGACAGTGCCTCCCAGACCATCCTCAAGTGTGCCAAGATCCCCAACCTGAAGGGCTTTGTGGAGGAGCGCTCCATCAACATCTCCCTCAGCCTGCACCGTGAGTGCCTGCTGCCCTTTGGGCCTTGCTCCCAGTCCTTGCTCCCCCAGTCCCCCTCTCCATTCAACAGCCTGAGCGTCCCCAGCCAGCGGTGGGGGAAGCAGGGGTGTATTTTGGTAGGAGGCAGCTCTCCACGGGGCCAGGCACCAAGGCTTCAGCACAAACACAGCTTTTGGCTTTCCTTTTCCTTCCTCTTATTGTTTCTAGCAAGTTTTGTGGTTTCCTTGTGTGAGTATTATGAGGAAAAATGATGCAGTGAGGAGCAGAGATGGTACCTGCGTAGCTGGTTCAGGATCGGCAGTTCTCATTGCTTCCTCTCTTGTTTTTTGCCCCATGTTCCTCTGGCCAAACCAGGAGTTGGTCCTGACCCCAGGTAGTGACTGAGAGCAAAATCTCGACCAAAAAGTGCCGCATGAGTCACCGGCATGAGTGGCAGATGGTGGTTTCATTCAGCTTGTGTCTACCCGGCCGTAATGAGTGTGGTTACAGCTCTGTCTCCTGTTTGGGCTTGCTGGTCCCAGTTCAGCAGTCAGAATGGGAGGGAGAGTCACTTGCTGGGATTTCGGTGCTCTTTGACTCAGGCCTGTGCCCGCTCTCCCGAGAGGCTCTGCATGGTGAGGGGTCCCAGCAGAAGCTGTGGGCTTGGAGGAGCCTTTCATGTGTGCTGTCGCATGTGCAGTGGGGTTGGTGGGGTCCCCCCAAGAGGGAAGGTGGGTGAATGCCACATCCGTACAGCCGGCATGAGGGAAACTGCTCTTGGTGTTGCACTGTGGCTGATTTTATCCTATGAAACCACAGACCAAGTCAATCAGGGTGGGATTGGAGGGGTCCAGGGTTTGCAGCGTGTCGCTGTCAGGTTTTGCAGCCCTCAGCTTCCCTGGCGTCATCCTCCCGCGGTCTTTTGCCCCCTGAAGTTAGGGGTGCTTCCAGGGGGAGACTGTGCGGGGCCTGATGCGAGAGGGACCCCCCTCCTCCGCAGACGCGGGTGGTGTTCTGTGATGAGCAATCGCTAACCTCGCAAATTAGATGAACATGTACGAACTGATCTTTGCAAATGAGTAAAGGTCTTGGGTGGATCTCGGAGCCGAGGGCGTTTCTCTGCCGAGGGCAATGTCACGGTGCCCCGGCTGCCACGCGGGAGCTGGCCGAAGCCCTGTCTGACATGGGGGGCACGAGCCCGGGACCCGCTGCCCCCCGCCGCCCCTCCGG